GCTGGCTCTTGAGGCTCGCTTTTCGTCTCAGTCTGCAGCAGCCTCTCTTCCATAGCTCCTCGCATGACCGTCTGAATGCTACACAAGACCTCAGTACTACAGAAGCCTTACTGTATACTTTAGCGCGCCCGTTCACACCATGAAAGCTGCGAGATGTATCCTAGCGGTACATGCCCGAGCTCCTTGCTTCTTCCCCACCTTGAACAGGATGAAGGCAACAACCCCCATGGCCACCACAACCACGACCACCACCACCTACGCTGAACTTGGCACCCTAGCAAAAATCACTTTTTTCATCTGCTTCTCAGGAATTATGTGCCCAAAAACTAAAGAGCTGTTTCTTAGGAATTATAAAGCCCAAAAACGAAAGATGATTCCCAAGTATCCCGAAGCCACGATCAGCACCGTCATTGTCACATCGCCGTTCTCGCCCGCGCTCTCAGCCGGGCACCAAAGGAGCTGAGCCTTCCTGGGTTGGGCCCTTTTGAGCCCTTATTAAGAATATTTTATCAGGGGGCCGCTGAAAAAAAATATGGAAAATGCAAAAAAAAAAACACAAACACAAACACACACACACACACACACACACACACACCAAAAGCCAACCCAGCTGCTCGAAATCGTAGTCCCAGCGTGGTGTGAGGTCGACGTCGCAGTAGGGCGCATTCTTGGGAAACAGGGCATCGACGGGCTCGGCCATACCAAAGAGCTCCTTGTCGATGATGGCTGCCTTGTTGACGGCGTGCATGATGACCTTTCGGAGGGTCAGATCATCGGTTGGTGCCTTGTTTGCGTTCATGATGATCACGCGGTTCCTTTACTCGTCTTGGAACCTTAAAAAAATGGTTTTTTTGTTAATATCCTCTTGGGTTTTACATAAACAAAAAAAAAAACTCCAAAGGGGGATATAGGTTCTGGATGGCCGGACCCAGGAAGACCTGGAAGCTGGAGGAGTGTGCGGTGCGGATGGTGTTGAAGTCTGCCGGCTCCAGCACGCCGGCGCCCATCACCGCGTCCAGGCTTCCATCTAACAGGGCCGCCATGACGGCAGCATGGCCCGAGTACTTCTTCACCTATACTCCCCTTAGAACCTTAACGTAAATAGTACGTTTAATACCCTCTTGGGTTTTATATAAACGAGAAATAGAAAAAACAACTCCCAAGGGGGATATAGTCACGATGATCTGCGAAATCTGGGGCTCCCCTCGCCAGTAGTCCGCATGCTTGTCAAACCGGACATCTCCGTTTGGAAGCGTCTCAACGAACTTGAAAGGCCCGGTGCCCGAAACGCCCCGGACGCCGGCGCACGTGAGCGTCTCGCCGTTTCCCGTGATGCTGCCCCACCCGGCGTGGCAAGAGTTTTCTGTCATGGGATCTGTTGAGATGCCACTGGCAAACATGGCCGGGGAGAGCATGCGCAGAGGGCGGATATACGTGAGCTCTTGCAGCAGAGGATAGTACTTGTCCTTCGTGAATAGCACGAACTCATACGTCCCTGCACAGCTCCATGAAGACACCTGCAACGGCAAGTCGTACCAACCGTGATAGTCTCCTGAACGGCTTCTGGCTTCCCCCCCCCCCCCCGCGAGGTGCCTTTATGGGAGGGTCCCAACGAGGAGGAGAAGGGAACCCCCAAATTGAGAAGCTGCGAATTCACGGTCTAGAGCTTAGCGTTCAGGACCTGCATACGGTATAAATAAGTGTGTATACACATCTATATATATATATATACATATATATGCATATATACATATATATATATATATATATATACACATGCTTATCTTTGTTTGATGAAAGTCATATGTATATGTAAACCTTCAAAAATGAAAAGCCTTTGCATGAGTCTCCTTCATGTCCACTACAGTAGACTGCCATCATGGAATACTCTACAACTGCATGGTCTAGAGTAGCATCAGAAAACTACAGAATGAATCCCTTGCAATTGTGCTGATCTTGCGTTTCCCTTCGGCTTTTACTCTGGATACGAACTTTTTTGAACGCACTTTCACTTGAAGCCCTTCCTGTGGTCAGCGGCTTGGCGAGAACGTGATCGAAGTTCAGCTTGGCAACCGTGCAATTCCAGTCGGAACCATCGTGGAATTTCACGTTCTGCTTGAGCGCGAACCGATACCTTAGCCAGTGAAAAAAACCCAATCTTGTTGTGTCTGTGGGCTTTCTGTCCTGCACGGCCCAACACCTTGGATCCTGGATTCTTGGTGCGGGGGATCTAGGCGTGCTTTTGGCTGAAGGAGACATAGGTGTTTGCCTGTCGGCCGAAGTCTTCAGCTTTTCTTATAACCTTCGACCACGCCCCCCCCCGCCCTCAAGGCCGCCCAAAGGCTCCTGCCCTCCTCCAGACAGGTCGGTGACCGTCCAGGACTCCGCCAGCGCCGGCTCTCTCACTCCACCTGCCGTGTCACAGACTGGAAGGTCGGTAATATAGGGGCCCTTAGTAACCAGAAGAGGTTTTCTTGTCTTGTTTTTTTGTTGTTGGGGGGGGGGGGGGGTATTATAGAATCATTACCAAGGGACCATAAGGGAAGACTACTAGAAATATTTTCCGGCACCTATGGTAGACCTGCATAAACGGAAGTCTCTCTCGAAGCAAAGGATTCACGGGGCCACGTGGGAACTACCAGGATGCAAGGGTCCATCGTTTAGGGGTTTAGGGTTTAGGGTTTAGGGTTTAGGGGTTTAGGGTTTAGGGTTAAGGGTTTAGGGTTGCATGACATATGGTCAGTTCTCAAATTTAGAGTCCACAATAGGGGGGCGCTTAGCAATAAGGACCCCAAAGGCACCATAAAAGTTAGAGAAGTCATGAAGTGGCAACATGCTTGGCGCACAAACCTGAAGCTCAAGGATGCTCATGTACCATGTACAAGATCGGCTCTCTAGGCCTGGGCCGTAGGTGAGCAGACCCTCGTACACCCAGTTGTTGGCAAAGAACTCGTTGGGACGGTATGTATGAGGATCCAGGCGCCCCACGGTATCGAAGAGCCCAGTCTGTGCGCCCGGGGCAACAGTTATGGTGGAGCTTCCGGACAGAGTTCGCAAGGTGTGAACGGGATAGTCGAACTGCTGCTGTCCCGCCACATACCCAGCCAGACGGTTGCTCAAGACTGTCGGGATGCGTTTTCCAGAGAATGGGAGGTCGATGGCTTGTTGATGGGTTGCTGTCAAGATCTCCTTCCATTTCTGCTCTCGCTGCACAAGGTTTTCTTCCAGAAGCACGTCCGAAACCTTCGTCGTCAGCTGATCTTGCGTCATCGGGGCCTGCAGGCCCTTGAGCGCGCTGAAGTGAGCCTCGTCGGGCGACTTCCAAGCTGCGGCAAAACTGTGGGGGTCGTAGGGGGGGCCCCACGTTTCCGAGAAGCAGAGGTTGAAGTTGCCCGACGTCATGTTGGAGTTGAAGTCGTCCTTGCTCAGAAAGCGGGTTGCCACGCTGATGCCCAGCTTTGCGAGATCTGACCGGACGTCATCTTCCAAAGACGCAAGGAGGGCATCGCCCTCCACCACTATGAAGTCGAGCTCTGCAGATTTGCAAGCCGAAAGGGCTTCCCGAACGTGTCCCAAGATGAGGAGGACCTGCAACAGAGGCGCCCACATTGCAAACGACGCTGGAGACAGGTCCCAGGAACCTTTGCCAATGAGGCTTGAGCCTTCAGGGTCTTGCAAACCACAAGCAGCACTCTACCCAAAACACTCATGCGCCCATGGTTTTGGGTCAGGGATTGCAGCCGGTGCAGTTGTAAGCTGTGGCAGCCAGTCGCAGTCTTGCATCATGCAATCATGCCTGACACTGCATTCTTTCCCTCGGATCGAGGAGGCGCGTGTTTGCCAAAGAGGCTGCTTAAATCAAATTTTGTACACAAACGGCAACAGTTTGTCGTGCTTGGGGTTTCGACAGAGGAGCGTCGAATTCTCGACTGGTATCGGGGTTTCTTCCCAGCATGCTCAAGAAGCCTAAACGCAAGATCCCGCTTCTCTCCCACACATGATCCCCTTAAACCAAAACAAGGGAAACTATGAAGAGATCCCAAGGGCCTACCTGGTTACCAAAAAGGGCCTTAATACTTGCAACAGGTTTCTTCTTATGAGTTTCTGCTTTTTTTTTTTTTTTTTGGGGGGGGGGGGGGGGGGGGAGGGGGGGGGGTGTGATCGTGTAATTACAAGGGGGCCATAAGGGACTACTGTTAGTAGCCATTCTGACCCCCATGCTACCACGCTGTTCGGCCGACTCACTCGAACGGAATGAAGTCGAACCTGGGAGGAAGCGGGCGGCTGTGTGGAGGGGATGTTGGCAGCTCTTGAGGTTGCCCCCCGGGGTCTATTTTCGGTGGGTTTAGGGTTTAGGGTTTAGGGCTTGGGGTTTAGGGTTTAGGGTTTAGGGCTTAGGGTTTAGGGTTTAGGATTTAGGGTTGAGTCAAAGAGCGGGAAACCGTATACCCCCCCCCCAAAAAGCCCAAAAGCGACCCAAAACATGACCAGCGGCATGTTGTTGGCACCGCCAGGAATTCGCACCGTCATGCCCTCCAGCGCGGGCCTCAACTTTGGGTTTAGGATTTAGGGTTTAGGGTTTCGGGTTTCGGATACAGGGTTTAGGGTTTAGGGTTTAGGGTTTAGGGTTTAGGGTTTCGGGTTTCGGGTTTAGGGTTTAGGGTTTAGGGATTATACAAGGGATATATAGGGGTTGTATAGGGGAATAAGATTCAGGGTCCCTTCGAGTCCCCCTCCTTATAGCGGCTTTCGAGCCTTTAGCCCTCCAAACCCTAAACCCTAAACCCTAAACCCTAAACCCTAAACCCTAAACCCTAAACCCTAAACCCTAAACCCTAAACCCTAAACCCTAAACCCTAGACCCTAGACCCTAAACCCTAAACCCTAAACCCTACACTGCGCAACAAACGGCAGCAAGAGCCTGAAGGCATATGCCTTCCGACCCACACGCAAAACCCGAATGAAGCTCAGACACAACGCACGAAACTTGACTTTAGGGTTTAGGGTTTAGGGTTTAGGGTGTAGGGTGTAGGGTGTAGGGTGTAGGGTGTAGGGTGTAGGGTGTAGGGTGTAGGGTGTAGGGGTGGTTTAGGGTTGGGCTTCTCATGGCTTCGTGGTCCTTCGCGTTTAAGACAGGGTGGGATATCCTAGAAACCCTACCAACCCTACACACCCTACCTACCCTGTGAGCCACATGAACCCTTTCAACCCCGTGAACCCTCTCAACCCACATGAAGCCTATAAACCCGACAAACCCTAGAAATCCTGTAACCCCTATAAACCCTATAAACCCTGTAAGCCCCATAACCCTATAAACCCTATAAACCCCATAAACCCTGTAAACCCTACAAACCCTGTAAACCCTATAAACCCTGCAAACCCTATAAACCCTATAAACCCTGCAAACCCTATGAACCCTATGAAACCTATGTCCTATGAACCCACTTAACCTTACTTGTCCAGTAACCTGGGTGGAATTAAAAGTACAAGGGGATTTTCAGGGATTATAAGGGGATTTTAGGGGATTCTATTACCCCCAAAAAGGTTATAAAGGCTACCTGCTCCACAATTCGGTAACCCTCAAGGCCGGGCCGGGGCGCGTCAGCCGCAGCTGGCAGCCCAGGCGGGAGGTCTCCTGGGGCTCAAAGGCCAGCTCCAACATGTCCTGGGGCATTTAAGGAGATGGCTTGTAAGGATGCCCGAGAAGATGCTTTAAGGGCCCGCCTTATGGGATGCCTAAATACATAAACCCTAAGGTCTGCAGGGTTTGAGGCAAAGTTTAGGCCGTTTCGGCGGGGTCTGGTTGCCTCTTCAACGTTCTGGAGTGCAGAAACAGAAGAGTTCCCAAAGACGTGTTGGGGCATCGCGGGGCCACACTCTCCCGGGCCCTGCAGCTGGGTCTCGGGACTTCCCTTCTTTTTATTTAGGACATATGAGGCCCGACGGGCGAAAAATGAAACCAGCTCCGAAGCGAAGTGGCGGTCCCTTGCCCGAAGCCTCCAAAGCATGCTGACCATCAAGGTCCTGCTCGGCATCGTCTGGAGGCCCTGGTCAACAGGGTGCCGTGGGCCAGCAGGCTTGGCAAGATCGAAACCATGACCCTGAACCACGACAGCTTCAAAGAAGACGATTGTTGGGCGGATTCCGGAGTTTCAAGTCAGTGGAGCAAATCGCGCGCAAGTGCGAATACCGACCCCACACATGCGGGGCTTCGGGCCATTTCTGGAAACATGAACTGCGACACACTTTTTGCCTTCGGGCTGGCATGGTGCAACAGCCCAACATGGCAGAACGATGGCCCACCCGTTCTTCAAGCGCGCGCGCACGCGCGCGCGCGTTGCGGCCCTCAAGTGGCACCAAGCAGCACCAGGAGGGATCCCCAGCTCCTGCTACTGAACCTCTAAACGCCCTAAGAATCCCCGTCCCGAGAAATCTACCCCAAGCCCGAAACCCGAAAACGATGCCAACGCCACACGGCTCTCAAACCACGGCCCTGGTAGGGCCTGCCGTCTTGAAGGACGCATCGTCCTGGTCGGGAGGTTCATTGCGGAGACCAGCCCCCTCCCCAGTTGCGCAACCAGGGGCACTTGCCGGGTTTGAGGGTTTCGGCTTTCGGTTCTGGGGTTCAGGGTTTAAGGTGCCGGGTTCCGGGTTTAGTTTCGAGTGCACTTCCCAGAACATGTTGCTTGAACCCCTGGAGTTGTTAAACCAGGGCCCTAACCTCATCGGGTTTAGGATTTAGGGTTCAGGGTTTTAGGGTTTAGGATTTAGGGTTCGGGGTTTTAGGGTGTAGGGTTTAGGGTTTAGGGTTTAGGGTTTAGGGTTTAGGGTTTAGGGTTTAGGGTTTAGGGAGCACCAAAACTGCTTCAAAGCCAGGGCCGCCGCCAGGTAGACGTGGCAGGTCGAGCACGCCATGACCCCGCTGCAGGCGCACTCGATGTACTCCTGCTGCTGATTTGTTGGGTTCTTAAGGGAGGGGGGTGTTTAAGCTTTAGGGTTTAGGGTTTAGGGTTTAGGGTTTAGGGTTTAGGGTTTAGGGTTTAGGGTTTAGGGTTTAGGGTTTAGGGTTTAGGGTTTAGGGTTTAGGGTTTAGCATAGGGTTCTTTAGGGACGGGGAGGTTCAAGGCGGGGAAGCAACCCAAGGTTCCCCAATATTCCCCACTACTCCCTGAGGCTCCCGAAGCTTCCCTAAGGCTCCCCACCTACACCCCATGAACCCCCCCTCCCTTGCTTATTGTTAGGGTTTAGGGTTTAGGGTTTAGGGTTTAGGGTTTAGGATCCCCTTAAGAACCCTCTACGTTGATTGTTGCTTGTTGTTAGGGTTTGGGGCTTGGATTGCTTTGTTCATGCAATCGCAAACAGGGTATGTGTGTTTTTACGGGCATCATTTAAGATTTCAAGGGCTTTGCGGGATGTTGGGGATGGGGGGGGAGAAATCCAAGCACAGCACCTACAGCTGCCAAGCTTTATAACCCCCTAATCCGAACGCAAGCCAACAAACAAAGATCGCAAACCCTCAGCCCTAAACCCTCAACCCTCAACCCTAAACCCTAAACCCTAAACCCTAAACCCTAAACCCTGAAGCCGAAGTTGCCGCCCCCCCCCCGGAACAAAAAGAGGGGGGGTCCGCCAGGAGCGAGGCCCCTTCGCCGCGGCCGTGCTCGGCGATCTCCTGGCCCGTTCCGTTCGTGGCCGGGGTCGAGGAACCAGAGGGGGTTTAGGGTTTATAGGGTTTCGGGCTTCGGGTTTAGGGTTTAGGGTTTAGGGTTTAGGGTTTAGGGTTTAGGGTTTAGGGTTTAGGGTTTTAGGGTTCAGGGTTTAGGGTTTATTCTTTAGGGTTTAGGGTTTAGGGTTTAGGGTTTAGGGGTTAGGGTTTAGGGCTTAGGGCCCCCTGTGGGCTATAGAGGTCGGCACGCTGAAATTCAGGACTCCCAACAAGAACCCTGAGTGAGAGAACCGGCTACATGAGGCCCCCAAAAGGCTTCAGGAAGACGACAGCTGGCCCACGAACCCTGGCCCGGAACCCACCTCGTAGCCACTTTTTTCCCGCTTCTTGGTGCTTCTCACATTCCGCGGTCTTTCTTCGCAACAGACGCTGGTGAGACGGGCCCGGCGGGGGGGCTTCTGATGGCTGAGACTTGGGTGTCGAACCCTAAACCCTCAACCCTAAACTCTAAACCCTAAACCCTAAACCCTGCAAACCCTAGACCTTTCTTAGTCCCTTCAGGGTCGGGGCTTCCGGGGCTTTCCATTTTTCTTGGGGGCCAATTCTGATCCGAAGCCCACACGCCGCTTTCTTGCAGATGTCAGGGGCGGGCGCAAGGGCCGTAATCCCCAGGGCGGGATTCGATGTGCTTGGGGCATTCGTTTTTTCTCTGCTGCTTAGGGGTTCTAAAGGAACCCAGAACCCCAAAAAAGCTTAAAGCTAGCGCTGGGCCTCATAGGATTTGGGAAGAACCGTGCCCTCAACCCCATACTTGCCTGAGGTCTCTAGGCCCCAAAAATGCTTTGAGAATTTGGGCCCTCCTTCCAGTGACCCGGCCCTGGTCTAATATCACACACCCTCTAGACCCAGGAGTAACCTAGGAAGAACAAGGGTGCCCTTCTTG